CAACAGACACACACACATTGATTTGCTTCATGTTATGACTACTGCTATGACCAGCTGCAAAGCTGGTAACAGAGACGTCTCGGTTGACGTTTCTGTGTAGTATGGGGCTAGCCCAACCGAGGGGATATAATGTATAGGCCTGGTGGGTTCAGGGTCTTTCATCTTACATCTGCCAGCGAGCAGTTTGGAGGTGCAAGATACCTGAGCGTGTAATGTTAATTTTTACCTGTGATCCTTTGAATAAATCAGCACTGTTTTGTAGTTACTTGGACTGCCTCGTCTCTCAGAGTTAGCATGGTAAGAAGAACCATATCTTACACTCAGTTCCACCAGTTCTGTCAGGAGGAATGGGCTGAAACTCCAGCACTACTATTATTCTGACATTTTACATTCCTAAACTAAAGTAATGATCCAACTGACCTAAGACAGGAGTTAGGAAAAACTGATTTTAAATGTATTTGGCTAAGGTGTGTGTAAAATTCTGACTTCAACTGTACCTTTTGCATAGTAACCTATTAATCCACACACCCTATCCCCACCACCCTTCACCCCCGCTCACCAGACAAAGCACACGCGTATATTTCAAATAAATATTTCATCCTGGCAAAAGATATGAAGAATGTGAAGAATTGACTATTCACACTGAATATGAATAAACTCCTTAGTAAGTAATTCTTGGACTCAGATTTTACAGATTAAAGTCCACACCACCTCATTTTTTAATGGTGGTGTAGATTCAGACCGTATCCAGAGGTCTGTTACCGGTGCTGCATTAGCTGGTGCCGAGTGGGTCGTGCTTTTTTCTTCCCCCACATGGTGCAGCGGGCTGAGAATCTGTTGTATTCATCAGGTTTCCACCAACAATGTAATGCACTTTCATTAAGTTCAGGTCTCCTTAACTTGCACTTTTCATATTAAGCAGATGAAAAATTAAAAACAACCAATGAAAGACAGACTACGTTATCTCACACTGCACAACGGGCTAGCTGAGTGTTCTCCAATAAATCCTGACCGGTCTGCAAAGTTTGTATATGTTCTGGTTCCAAGTTGATTTGGTTTTTATCACAGTGTGATAAATACGAACCGAAGAGAGAAAGAACTACAACATGGAACCAATGTGCCACAGGCAGTAACAGTTTTTCACCAAAACATATTCAAAAAACACATCAAAGCACAACTTAAGTTAATGTGACATTATATAAGTAACCTCAGCTTACTGTAAAATAATAGACCTAAACTAAGCATGATCAATTTTTTAAAGAGCTATTCGAATCTTATTTAAAACCTTTTTAAGGACCTGCAGAAAACCTGTATTTGTTAGGACTGTGCATTTTATCAGACAGAAGGAGTGATGCACCTGTTAACAAACTTCCTGGGTATAGGTGAACACTTTTAGGTGGATGTTTGCTTAGTATGTGTTTAGGAATTAGAAGGTTTACCAACTCCTTTGTGGGCATCAAGGCTGGTGTACTCAATGGTTCCATTGTGGCCCTTTTTGGGGTTTTCTTTGTATTCTTTGTGGATGCCATCAGGACAGTATCTGTATGACAAGCCATAGTCTGCTAGGTAGACCTACAGCACACAACAGAATACACAAAAATTACAACTAAGCAATTCATCAAATAAACTTTATAATGTCTGCCTAGCAATGTAATCATCATTAAAACAGATGGCTCTCAACTGACCATCTGCAATATTAATAAAATTTACGGTACACACAGCACAGCCCTCAATTCTGTTACACAAAGTGTATAGCCTGTAGAATAGCACAGACCTCACTAGTATGCACGTGCAGAATACTTAGCAGAGATGTATAGTGGACTGGCCTTTTCAGGGTCTCTGTAGCCCAACATGAGGTTGGCAGCTTTAATGTCTGCATGGACATACTCGTTCTCATGAATATACTGAAGCACATCCACCTTGCACAGGAACCAATGACAGAACATGTACACACACAAATAAATAATTATGATGAACAATTTGTAATAAAAAAATGACCTGAATACACAGTGTCAGAGCTATTGTATGTTCTGCTGATCATATGTGTGTGATCTCACCAGTCCTTGACCAAGCTGGAGCACAGTAGCCTTCTTCAGTCTACCTCCATTGCACTCGCAGACTTTCTGAAGGTCACTGCCCAGTCGGTCCATGACCATGAAGCGATATCTGAGTGGGAGAAGGAAAGATCAGAAGTCAAAACTCATCTCTTAATTCCTGACATGTAGATGGCTCTTTGGCCTAAAGGTAGGTCTAATTAATTACTAGTTTTAAATACCCTTGAAATAAATGCTATGGTGGAATTTAATCAGAAATGACAACTATTAAAAATGTAACAGTAAGCAAGTCAGGGGAGAAAAGAATGTGCAAAAATCCAAGGAGATGACAAATCCACTTTAGGAGAGCACAAGCAACCTCCTAACATTTTCTTAGTTGCAAGATGCATTCACTTTACATCAGGGCCCAGAATTTACCTGATGTAGAACACAACAAACAAAAATAGTGAAGCCCACAAGGTCATGTGTATAACAGACTAAAGTCAACTTGGTCTTGTAAAACCCCATCAGATCATTTACTTTATATTCCAAATATTTTACATATACAAAGAAAGAACCTTATATTTTGAAGTCTGCCCTTAAAGTCTATGTTTGCTAATTTAAAAAAATATTATTTGTTGGTATTTTACCTGTTCACATTTTCTCTCATCTATGACAAAACAATTTTGAAATAAAATGCTCTGGTCAGAATCATGCTCTCCATCTGAAGGGCAATGGCATCTTACTTTGTAACATAATTATAAAAGCCTGGTTAGATTTAGACAAACACCGAGTATTACTACAAAATACAGAGAAAATGCTGATGTTGTTTTTCACTCAAATAGAGTCATCATCTAATAATTTGATAGCGCTGTCCAAATTCTGGCTACATCAATACCTGAGTTCATTGTGTTCAGCAAGTCCTGATCCCCAGTAGGTGGGGATGCCCAGGAAGCCCAGTCTCCTGCTTCTCATCCATTTCTGCACTGAAACAAGATTGGAAGAAGAATAGTTAAGTAAACATGTATGTGGACATTTTTATTTTTCACTCCTGGGGTACATACACTACTAGTCAAATGTCTGGAAACAGCATACCTTATGACTTTGTCAAGTGGCACAGGCCTACGAGAACTCAGATTAGTGAAGTTTCTTGTTGGACGTTACCAGGGTAAACACTCGCGACGGGGACATCGTGCATTTTCAGTGGCAGCCCTGAGACTTTGGAAGTCCTTACCCTTCAGTTTTATCTGAGTTTATATCTTCACTCAAAACTTATTTATTTGCTCTGGCTTATGGCTCCTAGTGGAATTTACTCATTTTTTTCTGTTTGTGATTATAATGTCTTTTATTTCCTTTCCTTTATTTTTAATTCTGTTTTATGTTTTGTTATGTATTTATACAGCACTTTTGGTCAACCTGCTGCTGTTGTGCTATATCAATACACTTTGATTTGACTTGACTGACTGGCAACTGGAAAAACTTTTGATGTTACTTTTCTCAGCAATTTCAGATTCTTAAGATTTCCTAACCATGATCTAACACCTCTCTTTTTCACTGAGAAGTCTGAACAAATGCCCCTAAATTCAGTGAAGAGTAGGCAAATGTTTTGCCCAGAATTCAGATTTGTCCTATTAAGTGTAATAATGAATGCATGTGAAAATCAGTCTTACAGTACAGAGGGTACAAACACACAATTGCAAACATATAAACACTGAGGCCCCAGACAAAGCAGCGGGTCTGGCTCAGGGCTTGATGGCGGCTGGCCTGACTGGCACTCAACCAGGCTGGCAGGTGGTCAGGGGCTCAGCGGAGGCCCGCGCATCATTACATGTGAGTGGCTTCCTCTCTCTTGCTCCTCTGCAAAAGAAGGCGTTAGCGAGCCCAGACAGGCACGGAGAGGGGGTCTAACTGCCACTGAGGTGCATGTTTGCTTTGGCTTATTATTAATTACCATGCAGCAGGCAGCAGAGCCTCTGTATCTGCTGCCACTTCATCAGTCAAACACACTCATGCTCCAGCAAGCTGCTGGGACACTGGACAGGAGATGATACTCACTGCTCTCTGGTTTGGCTGCCCTCTGGTAGAACTTGAGCTCTGAGAACAGGGGGCCATTCTCATGGTACTCCTGCATATACAAGCATAACAGAATTAACTATTTCATTATCACTGGCTAAAGCTGCACTAGCTAAATCACAAAGTGGAGCTAATGTATAATAAAGCTTAGTGTCCCAACCAATGAGCATCTTTCAACTTAACCAAATAAAACTGCATGGGCCTTCTGCTCCTTTTTAAGATTTTATGTACAGTAATTCTTGCTTCCCTTGTATCAAAGAAGGAATCTCCAATGTACTTGAAAAAACTGAAACAGTTAACTTGTTGAAAGCTCTCCTCTAGGGCAGAGACACACCAAGTCGACATTAAAGAACTAGCAGCAACAAAGTCTGCCTTTTGTCGCCTCACGTAACCTTCGTTGCAGCCAAAAAGGGAAGAGACTACAGCCAACGGCCAACTAGTGCATACGTTCTACACCTGCATGGGAGGACTAATTCCCCCTACCGGTAGGTGGCGGTATCTGTAGTCACCATTCAGAAAGGGAAAGAAGGAGAGCTAGACTGCAGATATACAAACTGTAAACAAAGCAGCTCTCATTCACCTAAAAGCTTTCATGTATGAATTATGAAAGCCACAGTCAGGGTTTTTTCTTCAGTGTTTTTATTCTTTGGGCATGAAAAGAAAAAAACTGAACTTTTTTGTACATGCCTTTTTCTAATTTAATGGACAGATGATGAATCATAATTTCCTCCCAAGATAAATTAAATGTTTGGAAAATGTAACAACAGTATCTTTCTTTAGGTGTTACTTGAAGTATTACTTCGATAATTTTTTTTATCTCCAAGGGTCTCCTCTTATAGAAGGATTGGCAAGCTATTCAGCCTTTCTGGCTTTCTGTCAGCCATCTTGGTTTTGAAAAATTATTGTTGCACTTAACAATGGCTGACCAGCTGGTGGGATGACACACTAGCATCCACTGTAGTGGGTGATGTGCAACTACACAATCAGAACCCATGAAAATACAAGAAAACTTCTTTTAAACAGCTGTAGAGACCACTATGCATCAAAGGGTGACAGTTTGCCATTTTGTAGTGGTGCCCAAATTCTGAACGTATAAAGCCACCCACTATATATTGCACTCAAAACTTCCACAATGGAACATAAAAAGTAATGACACTACTTTCTGCTAACAATCCCACAATGCAATGTTCCATATTTTACAAATGAGAATATTACCACTGAGCCATTCTACTGCTGTTAGTGATGATGCAAAATGATAACAATTAGTTGGCATCCAAAATCTGAATGTAGTGATGACTACTGAATTAACTAGTGAGTGGACATTGTGTAGAGAGGAGTGAATAAATAAATCAGGGAATGATTTCGGACACAGCCATAGTTCACATAAAACTAAAAATATGATTTTAACACTTTGGTTTTTGTTTGGATTCAGCTGACATTTCTAGTGCATTTTGTATAGACTGAATGTACATATGTTTATAACAAATCAGAACCATCCATCCATTATCTATACCGCCTATTCCTGAATAGGGTCGTGGGGGGAACCTATCCCAGCCAACATTGGGCGAGAGGTGGGGTACACCCTGGACAGGTCGCCAGTCTATGCCAGGGCTGACATGTAGACAAACAACAACGCACACCCACACTCACTCCTATGGACAATTTAGAGTTGCCAATCAACCTAAGCTGCATGTCTTTGGACTGTGGGAGGAAGCCGGAATAGCCGGAGAGAACCCACGCAGGCCCAGGGAGAACATGCAGACTCCACACAGTCGGCCTGGGCTCAAACCTGGAACCTTCTTGCTGTGAGGCAATAGCGCTAACCACTGCAACATTGTGCCACCCCCTAAATCAGAACCAATCCTTTCATTTTACACCTCCAAATCCTGTCTCATGCTTGTCGTGATAAAAAGAGGAGATTCTGTCAAAAGAGTTCTGCTGCCTCTAGTCCAGTAGCACAAAAACACCTATATCAAGAGTTGATAATATGCTAGTCTGAATATGAATACAGAACTAAAACCTACCAATCCCGTTATTACTCCAGTGACTCAGACACCATTTACCAATTTGCTAAGGTTCACATATCAGAGGCTATCCTAAACCAAAACGGGATCTGGAAGTGGGCAATACAACCCAGCAACAAAGTGTGCAAGGCATCTGTGCCATACTACTACCCCTAAACTGCAGTGAATGCACCAGATGATGGAGGAACCACCACACCGATTAAAGCTCCATTTTGCTACACTGTCAAATTTTATTTTGAGTCATTTTACTGCAGTTTTCTCACAGCTTCTCTAAACTAAAATCACATGTTGTTTGGTGAAGCCTAAACTAAAAAAAGAAGAAATAACTTTGCTGTAAGAAATGTACCCATGCATTAACAGGGCTCCAGACTGTGAGTGATCAGTCACATTTTGCAAATGTATTTAAGGTACAAATTACTTTTTTGCAAAGCTCATTCTGGGTGCAACTGCAAATAAACAGGTTATGCAGAAATGGCTGCTCTCACTGTAGACATGGTGAACAGACATAACAATCTCCACGATACAAGTCTGTCAATCATCCATCTCACAAAGCAAAAACTTCCAGTCTATCAAAAGTGTCAATCCACACTGACTCCTCTGAAAGATGCGTCATCCCTGGACCCCTTTTTATGCTTCTGGTCTATTTTTTCCTTTGGTGCATTTGAAGTGTAACCACTACAGACAGCTGTTTAAATCAGGAAGATCACCTGTTAGCCTGTTTATGTGTTGGAAGCTTTTTATTTGAATCCCTTCTCCTGGTGTTACTGTGAGCTTTCTGGTTTCACTTTCCTCCCGTCTTTTGTAGCAAGACAGGGAAATTGCTGATGAGCCTATTTGCCCAGTATATTTCTGCTGTCAGTCAGCCTGGGGCAGACCATGCTGTACTCCTGCTGACAGATAGCTGTTCTGATGAGAGACATCGCACAGTGGTCGGAGTCAGTTTGACGTTAGCAGAGGCTGAAAACCACCATCAAGCCCTTCTTTAAGTAGTAGGCCGCTAGTAACTTTAGTCCAAAACCAAACTGGGACTCAACCAGGTGAGTGAAAGAGCTGAACTGTGCATGACGTCCAACACAGACAGCACCAATAAACAAACTGTGCATGAAGTCCAACACAGACAGCACCAATAAGCAGAAATTCTTCTTCAGAGGAAAAATGGGCTACAAATAAATCATGTACACAAATGGCAAAGCATGCACACAATTCATCGTTTTATACTTCAACAGAAATATGATAGCCTAATCTTCATTGTCGTCATCATCATCAGGGTCAGGATTATCATCATGCTTACTGCTAGCCTACCAAGAACTACAGTGGCTTACATAAAGAGCTAGAAGCTTGTTCCCACTTATTGTGTTCCAGAAGTTTCCCTCTCTCTGAATTTCATTATACATATACAGTAGGCTGCGCACATCTTTTTTCTCCCTCCAGTGTAGGTAGGGCAACTTACAGCACATGCTAAAATTTCAAAAAAGAATTCAGGGCACCACACACAGGCAGGATCAAGTTGCAGAAAATAGGGCACTGTTGATGCGTGTCAACCCATAATAACACGTGTCAGTTCATTGCCAGTGTGTGGGCTTTCATTGAAAATAATGGGTGCAGGTGCCCTAAAATGTGTCCCTGAACATGGAGAGTCTGCCTTTGGGTAGCACAAATGTACTCACCACTTTAATGACAAAGTGAGTGTCTGCTGCAACAGGTCTGTCCACATCCTGGGAGGCTACAAAGCAACAGAAGACAATGAGGAAAGGTGAAACAAAGTGTAGACTACATATTTGCGGTATATTATGTTACATTTTAATTCTTGTACTCTGGGTTTTTAAAATGTATCCAAGACCACATGGAAATTTACAAAATGCCAATTGTAGCTGATTCAGAAAAGGTCTCAGTAGATCAGATGGGTCGAGAGCTAAGTCTGAGTACATGTCAATGCTGAATCTCTTCAAAAATCGATTTGTAGAAATCTAACTTGTCCAAACAGCTTTCACAAACAAGAGACATCAATCACAGTAGCATCACCCTGAAACATGTATGTAACTGGAAGACAAAGCTTTAGTCTAGGGAACATACTTGTGGAGGAGTGTGAATGTACATTGTGTGTGCAGACGTATCATTACAGTACCAAGATAGATCAGTCCAAAGCCACCTTGACCGATGATTTTACCAAGCCTCCACTTCTTTTTCTCACTGTCAGTCAGAACGAAGCCGTCTGGAAGTGGTTTCGGTAACTTACTCTTTCTGGGTGGTGCCATTGAAACTGAACAAGCTGTAGATAATATGTTACAATCTATTTTTAAACGCTTGAGTAATATGAGATGATCACGCTGACCAGTTGGACTACACTTTGTAGCTCGATGTTATACTCCCTCTAATGCGAAACAAAAGTGAAACAACATCACGAGTAAACTGGAAACGGACAACATCCACTTGGACTTAACGTTGCGTTAGTGCAATATGTAACAACGGTGAAACAACACTATAACTTAACTTAAGGTAGCCTATAAAAGTACTTTAATATCACTTAACCTATAAAATACAATATCTGCAACCTCCGAAAGGAGTCGAAGTTCTGCGTCGTCAGTTGGATTTTTTATTTTTTTTTTTGTCCTGATAAGCTGTCGTAAATAATAATAATAATTTAAATGCTTAGCCTTCTTCCACAAACTGCTCTTCAATGGCCCGGTGTAAAACAAAAGTAAAACCTTAATCGCTTCCTAAAAGTTATCCTTCCCCCTACGCCGTACAGCCAATAATATGCACGAAAACCGTTCTCAGCAACCAATAGACAATAAAGAGAAGCTGTAGAGGCGGGAACATTCAGTAATAACCACTCAAACTGACAAATCAGTTTGCACTACTTTTCGATTATTTCAAAAGTTGGGCTTCATTTAAAACCTGGCAGTTTCATGTATGGTCTGACGTTATACATCTCAAGGTTTAGGATTTCTTTGTGATTCTTGAAAGGTAGAACATTCTTAGAATTCTATAATAATGGCAATAATCCCAACCCAATGAGCATCTCTAACATAGGATATTGAATAACATTATGATATGCTACTGTTCTTAATCAAGATGTGATGGTTTCTGTTCTACATTATTTTCAAAAACATAAAGGGAGCTCTGAAATAATAACAGTGATTTAACGTGTTACAATGAAATTAGGCCTATTTTCAATTTCATTTTTACTTCTTGATAATATTTTAAAAACAAATAACATCTTCAAGGAAATCTCACTTGAGTCTATTTACATATTATTTTACCAAATCTAAGCCTGAGAGACCTTTTATTAATCATTCTCAGAATATAATCTAAACACAATAAAAGCTGTTTACAGCGAGGCTGAGTCCTTCACAACTGATGTACAGTGGGGCAAATAAGTTTTTGATACACTGCCAATTTTTCAGGTTTTCCCACTTACAAAGAATGGACAGATCTGTAATTTTCATCGTAGGTACACCTCAATTGTGAGAGACAGAATCTACAAAAAAAATCCAGAAAATCACATTAGATTTTTAAATAATTTATTTACATTTTCTTGCATGAATTAAGGGATTTGATACAATAGAAAAATAGAACTTAATATTTGGTACCGAAACCTTTGTTTACAATTACAGAGGTCAGATGTTTCCTGTAGTTCTTGACCAGGTTTGCACAAACTGCAGCAGGGATTTTGACCCACTCCTCCATACAGGTCTTCTTCAGATCTTTCAGGTTTTGGGGCTGCAACACGGAGTTTCAGCTCCCTCCATAGATTTTCTGTTGGGTTCAGGTCTGGAGACTGGCTAGGCCACTCCAGGACCTTGAAATGCTTCTTACGGAGCCAGTCCTTAGTTGCCCTGGCTGTGTTTGGGGTCATTGTCATGCTGGAAGACCCAGCCATGACCCATCTTCAATGCTCTTACTGAGGGAAGGAGGTCGTTACCCAAAATCTCACGATACATGGCCGAGCTGGGCCGAGCTGCGTAGGTGGGGTCACTCCTGGGCTGGTCGGTGGTGATGGTGGCTACTGAAGGTAGGGACAGAGAGATGGAGGCAAAAGTGGATGTATCCTCCTTCATGGAGGAGGAAATAATGAGTCTCTCTGCTCTATATAGCAAATGGTTGTACTTATAAAAAATGTTGTGCATTCTGCAAACAAACTGGGCTTTAATTTACATAATGTAGGCTTTTTCTGCAGAATGCCACTAAATTCTAGTATTGTGCCATAATGTGACCTTGCTTAACCAATCTAGGTCCATGTTGGACTTATTCACACTGAATCCGTTATTCACATGGCTGACTGTGTCTACATGTGAACATCCACAACTACAGATCCTTTGATGCAACTATGTTAATGACCAAATATAACCCAGTTAAAGTGTAATTAAATGCAGAGGCATTGCTCTACAGACCAGACTCAGGCAGAGCGGCCGAGCAAACCTGACACGTCCTTCTTCCTCCAAACACAGCAAGTGGAGTTTATACCAAAACGTTCTATTTTAGTCTCATCTGACCACATGAGC